AGTTTCTGGCTGCTCTTCATGTTCATCTGACCTTCATCAACTCTGGAGTCAACCTGATGAAAGAAATACAAACATCTAAGAAGTCTTCATCATTTAAGAAAACTAAATTAAAGTCTCTCCATCATAAAGCTGTTGACCGGGCCTTACAGAGTCCAAATGGACACCTGGACTTGTTCCTCCGTTTCCTCCTGGGACTTTCACTGCAGACCAATCAGAGACTCCTACAAGGTCTGCTGACACAGACAGGAAGTAGCTCACAGACCAATCAGGAAACAGTTCAGTACATCAAGAAGAAGATCAGTGAGAATGTGTCTGCAGAGAAAAGCATCAATCTGTTCCACTGTCTGAATGAACTGAATGATCGTTCTCTAGTGGAGGAGATCCAACAGTCTCTGAGTTCAGGAAGTCTCTCCAGAGATAAACTGTCTCCTGCTCAGTTTTCAGCTCTGGGTTTCATTTTAGTGTCATCAGGAGAAAATCTGGATGTGTTTGACCTGAAGAAATATTCTGCGTCAGATGAGGTTCTTCTGAGGCTGCTGCCAGTGGTTAAAGCCTCCAGCAAAGCTCTGTAAGGACAGATTGTTATTGCAATCATAGTTGATGGATTGAAATCTGCTAATGATGATATAGATTTGGGTTGTTTCTGTTTATTTGTTATGAACCACCTCACAACAAAAGTCAACATGTGTAAAATCAGACAGTTCCATCGATCTTTTTAAGTATAACATTGGTGACTAAAAAGAAAGAAACATATATTTTGATAAAATGTTTAATTCCATATTTCCTCCCTGTCTCCTCAGACTGAGTGTCTGCAACCTGTCAGAGAGAAGCTGTGAAGCTCTGTCCTCAGTTCTCAGCTCCCAGTCCTCCAGTCTCAGAGAACTGGACCTGAGTAACAACAACCTGCAGGATTCAGGAGTGAAGCTTCTCTCTGCTGGACTGGAGAGTCCAAACTGCAACCTGGAGACTCTCAGGTACGATGTGACCAATTCTGGAGAAACCAGATTTCTGTTCTTAGCTTCTATCAGAGATGATTTAAATATTATTTAAAATTTAGATTTGTCCATTTTTCTCATCTTTGCTCTGATCCCTGTGAATACAAACCTTTGCTTTATTCTTTATCTCAGATGAATTTCTTGACTCTGTCAGTGAGATTACAGCTATCTAAGCTGGGAATTATTGGATTTTTAAAAAAGTGGTTTTACTAACACTCACTTTTTTCAGACGTGAGTAATTTAATAAAAAAAAAATTACAACACTGTTACAGTTAGTGATAATAAAGAGTTAATATCATTTAGCACAGCATGTTGAAACTCCATTCATCTGACCAGGAGCTAAATGGTTGAAAACAATCAGTGATGCTGATTGGCTGAGAAAGAGTTCAGTATTTGTTGTAAACCAATCAGAGGCAGACAGAAGCATTCAGAGTCATAAACACTGAAGCTCTACCTTCTGAACGGAGAAATGAATGAATCAGTTAAGGACTGATTTCCTTCTCTTAGTTCACTCGGATGATTAACGGATCATTCATGGATGATGCCAAACTAGTAGAGAGAGCAGATTCATACTGCACTGCCAAGCAGCCTTTAGCACAATGATATGCAAGAATATTCAAAAGTTTTCAGCAAGGGCCTTGATTCTTTACTTACTGGATGTGAACCAGAAAGGAATAAAACTTTAATAAAATTGGTTTTGGTGAGCTTTATATTTTAAATAGTTACTTTTCATGGATGATGGATGATGGA